TTTGTGATTGTTCCAGAAAAACTATACTGGAAGAAAGCCACAGCAGCAATCCCAACCCATCTGTGTTACCAGTCTGCAATAAGAAATTTATGGAAATCCACAGTTTCCATTTAGAAATTTTTATAGCAACCTTAACAGATTAACTTTACTATTGAACTTAAAAATAAACAAAATTGGGCTTGTATTTTTATTTCATTTTGCTAGTAATTGATTTTTATTGTATTTTACAAAAGTGCTAGTCTATAATGCATTGAAAAAAATAAAACTGATCCTTCTCCACAGATAGTTTGAAAAACACTTTGTGTTTTATTACATTTTTTTAAGACAGAGCCTCACTCCGTCACCCAGGCTGGAGTGCAGTGGAGTGATCTTGGCTCACTGCAACCCCCGCGTCCCGTGCCACAGCCTCATGAGTAGTTGGGATTACAAACAAGCAGCACCACGCCTTGCTAATTTTTGTACTTTTAGTAGAGACAGGGTTTCACCATGTTGCTCAGGCTGATCTCAAATTCCTGGCCTCAAGTGATCCTCCCACCTCGGCCTCCCAAAGTGCTGAGATTACAGGCGTGAGCAACCGCACCCGACCCTGAAAAACACTTTGTATTTTAAAAAACTGTTGTTAACACTGAGCATGTAACAGTCTTAAAAAGAAATGTCATTTTATGGAAATTATCATTTTATTTTAATCAAAGGCAATAATGATGCCTGGTCAGTAGCTTTTTATCAAATTGCCCCACTTGGTCAGAAAGAAAGTCATCTTATTTTATTTTTCCTTGGATTTCAGCAACTTTAAAATATCAAATCCTATTTTGTGCTATAGCGATGTGACAACAAAACTCTACTTAAATGACTAACTCACTGATGGAACATAACTTAAGGGTAGGGAGAGACAGAAATTCTATAGAAATGTGTAGATTAAGTCACTGTGTATCCAAATAGAAATATCAGGATCTTCCTCCGCTTAAGATGCAGGAACCAGTGCACTGAGGCACAAGAAAAGAATTTGATTTACAATTTGAAGGAAAAACAGCAGTAAAATAATTGAGAGCTGGAAAGCAATCTCACTCCTGCCAAATTGCTTTCCTCTATGCGCACCCCATTTAGGGGTGATATCTGGATGCCGACATTTAGTTCATACACATTTTCCTTCCCCTGTGACATGCCATCCTGTCAGATCAGGACTGTTTCTCTGCTGTGATCAACAAAAAGGAATATCCAAATTACCTAGCATTGGATTATGACTGGAGCTTTATAAATTAAAAAATGGTTGATTTTTTTTTTTAAGTGCAAAGGTGATACGCTTATAAAAGCTTTAAAAAAAAAAGATTGTTAGTAAGAATATGCGTGGTCCCTAAATTACCAAAAACATGAATTCCTTTCAAGCAAGCTTTAATTTCAATTTATGGGAATCAGACAGCGAAAAGACATTGCAAATTGTAAAGAACTGTTAAAATATGTGTTAAAAACAACTACTACTACTACCAGCAGAATAGGTTGTGATAGAGATTTGATGAATATCAGCTTTGATGTTGTTTATTACTTTCTTTCCCTTGACGTATTCATAGACAGGGGAGACCTTCCGTCTTTACCTAGTAACTGCCTCTAGGAATTAATCTTACAGTTCATAGACTCATAAATAGAAGTGTGTTGTACTGTCAAACCCTTGCTTGGCTAGTCCTCTGAGTCATATATTTAGTTATGTCTTTATAATCTCAGAAAATCAGTAACAAAATTTGTCCTAGAAGTTTGGCTTTTATACTCTGTGTTTTGCCCATGGAAGTACATTCATGTGCTTTACACGAGAGCAAGAATTTAAACATCCAAAGTATCTTTATATTAAAACATCTGAGGTGCCCTCTTCCTTTAACTTTCTTGTTCACGTTAGAAAGTATTTCTGGCTTCCTCACAAGAAATACAAACGTGACAGATTCATTTTGATAATTGCCTCATGTGAGCCTCAGACATATTATGTGCTGGAATCAAAATTCTAATACTCTCCAAAGATAAGGCAGGAAATACCATTTTGGGAGAAAAAATAGAAGTATTGAAAAGTAAACAGGAATAGACTATGCAAATTAGGTCTGAGCCAAGAGCATGCCTGTTTTAAATTTAAAATTGGCTACAAGCCAGAGCCAGTTATACCCTGGGTACCTGGAGGACAACGAAGAGGAATATGAAGAGCATTTTAATTTCAATAACAAGAACCACAGAACCACAAGCTGTAAGTTCTAAAACTGATAGCCTGTGGCTCTTCTGGCCAGACATTTGGTCCATGTAGTGGACCAAATTAGGTCTTCCTAATCTTGATTTAGCACTGGCAGTGCTGTTGTCTTTTTCTCACAGTTTACATTCAGAAGGCCACTCGTTCTTTGAATTAAAAACAAACGTACTTTTATCATGAACCTAAGTCAAAGCATGGTTCGCCATTGCCCTGTGGCCAGAGAGGTTTTAAGAGCGGTACAATATGGTGGGTCAGAGGTTTAAATTATATGTGTGTGTGTACATACACATGTGCATATACACAGGCACACACACACACGCTTATACATGCACACCCATTTATATCCACACACACAGGAGAAGCCCTCCTACCTAAGGTGAGAAGGATTAGTCGGTAAAGCAAATAATCTTAGAAAATAATGTGATGCATACATAATGTGAACATTTTCCAATATTTGTATATTTATATTTACATTTTTAATGTTATATTTGTACATCAATGTACATTTATGTTACCATCTTTTGATGGAAAGGTTTTTTCCACCTAGTGAAGATTTCCAAATGCTTTTTAAAAACAAGTGAATCTTTTCTTAAGTAGAGGTCTGATGATGAGAGGGCCCTCCACAGTTCTTGTATAAACCACGTTCTTCAAGAATCATCTTGTCTTATGCAGCTCAGGTTTCTTCAGGTGAAGTACTCAGGCACCTGTGTAGTGATCGCAATGCACAATCAGTCTGGATTCTCATAAGCTTTTACAGTTCTCTTACCTAGTGTGATCGCAATGATGTTTAGACGTCCCTCTTTATCCAGTCTTTCCAACGGACTCAACTTAGTTTTTATAAAAATCACTTTTTTTGGCACTCACCTGTCTTTGTCTTACATATTATTTTACTTGATTTTATAATTACTACTTGCATAAATGGATTTGGAAGAAAACTCAACCAATGCATACAAATTCATGGGTTTCAAGCAGATACGTGTAAGCATAGTAGAGAGTTACTTCCTAGCTTCCAGCTTCCAGCATCAACTGGACATCTGTCACTCTTTTCAAGTGAATGGAGGCTGTTGTTTAATCACATTTTTCTAATCTCTAGAAAGCTCAGAATAAAATGTGTCACATATATTTAGAAATTTGTAGAACCTGATGGCCCATGCTTTTTTCACTAACTTGACCTCTAACATCACCTTTTCTACATTTTTTCTTTTACATGCATATATTTTCCTTTCGTATCTTGTTATAATGTAAGAAACTTCCAATCTTTTGCTAGAATGGCAATGTGATTTTGCTGAATAGATGTTTGTTTTGTTATTGTAAGCACTGTGTAGTCCATGTTTTGCAAGACTTATGTTCTAAAATTAGCACATATGGAAAAAAATTGTTGAGTTAAAATTACCCTTGAACATCCCTTGAGAAGGCTCTGTGGTACAGTTCAGCACGTAGTATCTTCAGAGGTCTAAAACACCCAATTTTTCCATCAGCTTTGGAACAGATCAAGATTGTGTTGAGTGTCAGATGAAGTCATTCGACTTGCTGACAAAATGTGGGTATGTTCAAAAACTGGAGCGGTATGGGATTGTCACACTATGAGAGAGAGACTCGTGGGAACCAAGATTCATGCCCCTCACCTAAGGAGTTCAAAACCACACTCTGCCTGGTGGTCTTTCTCTATGTAGTCCTCCCTTCTGGAGGACTAAGTCTCATCTTCCTGAGAAGGCAAGGATAGACACTCATCGTATTCCCTTTCCACATATTTGCATAGGACACACTCAAAAAAAAAGTTAAAATAAAATTCAAATGGAAAAACTTCACTTGGATTTCCAAGATAGTAAAAGTGCATTCTTAATATTTTAACTCAGTGTATCAAAAATGAACTTCACTATTTTAAAAGTTTACAACCTAGCTCTTTGGTGGCCATACTACTGATTAGAAAATGGACTGATTTTCCCATGTGGTTTTTAAATTAGTATAGTTTCTTCAAACATTAAACTTTTAGAAAAATCTGTGTATCTGGATTATCAGGGCCTGTACTTCGCATGTCAGCTATAGATCTTTAAAATATCAGGCCTAATTTTATTACCACATTTACATCTCTTAATAAGAGACAGAGTGTTTATATTTCATATGTGAGAATAATATTTAAGTTTCATTTTTTTCTAGGAATGGCAGCCATAAATTTTCAAAGCACAATAATTAATGAAAAATACAGGTTCTATTCATAAATTAATAAACTGTTAGGCTTCAAAATAGAACTGCACATAATATTCATGTTTGTTTTTTCTTGGTAGACAACTGGCAGGTTTTCTTTCTTTTGCATCTAGGACTAATTTTGTTTATTCAAGATACCTGAACTGGGGTGTTTGTTAGTTAAGACAAATTTGAGAATGAGACTGTAATCCCTGTGGACACCCGATTTGTTTTTAACGAGGCAGCATTGCATAATGATTTATACTTAAGAGTATGGGCTTAGGGAGAAAATGCCTGGGACCTTGAGATATTGATTTAGTCTCCATGTACCTGTTTTCTCGACCACAAATGGGCATATTAGTAGCATCTTCCTCACGGTTATTGTGAAGATTAATATGTCTAAAGCACTTGAATCAGTACTCATATGTCATCAGTCCTCCATAAATTATTATTGTTACTAGTGTCACCCTTGTGTGCATGAGAATGGGATCCAAACCAGTCGATGCCCAGTAAATGTCAAATGGCTGGTGAAAATGCTATTGAAATGCCTTGGTGTTCTGGTCTTTCACCTCCCTCCCCTTTTCTCTCCACACAGGTGGCCCCAGCCATTAAGGAGAGGATGATGAAGAAGGGAAGCTTGATGCTGGGCTACCAGCCGCACCGGGGAAAGGTCAACTTCTTCCGCCAGGTGGTGATCAGCCCTCAAGTGAGCCGGGAGGACATGGACTTCCTCCTGGATGAGATAGACTTACTGGGTAAAGACATGTAGCTGCGGCTTTCGTCCCCCAGAGGCATAAATCCTGTCCTGGGAGAGTTTAGATTCAGAACATCTTGGGGATACACAGTAGATTGCAGCCCTTCTGATGAGAAATAGGAAATACTCCCAAGTCCAGGCCCAACAAAACCAAAATGCTAAGCAATGAATATGAAGGACTCTCTAGCTGCCTGGGCATTACTGTTGCTAAAAGAAGAAAGTTAAAAAAAAAAAATGATTTTCTCAAGGAATGCCCCTGGAACACAGCTCTGATAGTAAGTACCATGTAGGTTCTGGATTCTAAGCTTACATTGCTCTTTTTTTTTTTTTTTTTTTTTTTTTTTTTTTTTTTTTTTTGAGACGGAGTCTTGCTCTGTCACCCAGGCTGGAGTGCAGTGGCCGGATCTCAGCTCACTGCAAGCTCCGTCTCCCGGGTTCACGCCATTCTCCTGCCTCAGCCTCCCGAGTAGCTGGGACTACAGGCGCCCGCCACCTCGCCCGGCTAGTTTTTTTGTATTTTTTAGTAGAGACGGGGTTTCACCGTGTTAGCCGGGATCGTCTCTCGATCTCCTGGCCTCGTGATCCGCCCGTCTCGGCCTCCCAAAGTGCTGGGATTACAGGCTTGAGCCACCGCGCCCGGCCAAAGCTTACATTGCTCTTTAAAGAACTTATAAACTAACAGTTTAAAGCAGTGGTTCTCAAAGTGCGGTCCCTGGACTATCAGCATCAAAGCATCACCTGGGAACTTGTTAAAAATGCAGATTCTCAGGCTTTCCCCAGACCAACTGGATCAGAAGCTCTAGGGGTAAGGCCCCGTATTCTGGGTTTTAACAAGCTCTTCAGGGTATTCTGATGCACAGTAAAATCTGAGAAACACTGGTTTAAGAAAAACCTTGTAATGATCGAATGCTCACTCTGATATTTTGCCAGCAAAGGGATATCTAATGTTTCAGAAACCTCTGAGCCAGTCTTTGAAAAAATACAACTATGGCATCTGTAGCACAAATATTTAAGGACATCAGAAGCATGTCAAAAGCTGTTTTTAAAGAGAGAAACTGTATAAGATGTTTACTTCATAGAGATGTATGTTTTATGCAGGCTGAATGTTTATCTCAAAAGTTCAAATTATCCATTCTGTTTTTTCTCAGTTAGAGATTAGAATAAAAGGCAAACACTTTGTAGTATGGCTCTTTCAATCAATGAGCAATAGTCCTAATTCACTTCCCAAAATCATTTGTGTCATTAGCCAGGGATGGACTCTCTCTCTATATATATTCAAACCACAATAATTGAAAGCACAATAATTGACAGAAAAATACAGGTTCTATTAATAAATTAACAAACTGTTAGTCTTCAAAATAGAAATGCACATAATATTCACATTAGTTTTTTCTTGGTAGACAACTGGAAGGTTTTCTCTTTTTTTTCATCTATGACTAATTTTCTTTATTTAAGATACCTGAACTGGGGTGCTTTTTAAGAAAAATTTGGGAACAAATTTGGGACATATATATATGTTTCTGTGATATATATACATATATATATACACACATATGTGTGTGGATATATATACATATATGTTTCTGTGTTCCTCTTTTAGCTTGAGTGGCTTGTTTCTTATCTTGCTCTGTGCCTCCTAGGGAATAAACACAAGGACATCCACGGTTGTACAACATTCCCTTTCCTAAGATTTGAAATATCAGTATAGATTATTAAGTGGTTTATATTAGAGATCTGGGAATCATCAGCCTTTCAGTGGAAATACTTCCTCCATTTCGCCTGTGATTTTAACTCTATCTCTGACCCTGGTCCTAGATTTCTAGGAAAGTTTTATTTAACTAAGAAATTGATGGAATTCATAGGTGTGGGTGTAGAGTTCAACAAGATAAGATTATGAATATAATAAAGCTCTGCATTAAAAGGTGAATGATTGAAGAGTATTAAAGTATTAGACTTAGCATATTCAATAACATTTTCATACTCCATTATTAACTAATGTCATTTAAATTTTGAGTACTATTTGCTTTTATTGCTTATTTTCATTTTAGTGTGCAGTTTCTCGGTATCTCTATTGGTCAAAGAATATTAAATCTTTCTCTGAATTACTTCAAATTCTTAGGTGAAACCTATTTGTGTGTGTGTGTGTGTGTGTGTGTGTATTTATTTTGCATTTCTTGTTGCCTTTTTGTTTTAATGTCTACATAAAATATTCCTAAAATTGATGTTTGTAACAATTTGAGTTTCATGAAACAAAAAGGAACATTACTATACTTAGTGTTGTTGACTTTTCTTTTCCTGTCATCTCCTCCTTACTGGATTGTACCAACACATTTTAGAAGTGAACTGGACTTGGTTGGCATTTTAGCTTAATGACTGAAAAAGCAGGTTGAAAGCTCTCTGTATTTTAGTTAACACCTTGAATAAAATGGAAAAAAGCAGTTATAGCAAAGAGTGGACTCTCTTGTTTAGTCTTTCTCAATTACTAGGTAAGCCATGGGTAGCTCAGCCACAGCTCAACTCCTGCTGTGCCTTTTTATGAGAGGGCAGCTCCTTGATCAATATAAAAAAACAACTGCTGCCAGAAATTTTGAAAATTTCATTATTTTTTCTTGAAACATTCAAACATACTACACTCAATCAGGTATTTGACTAAGTGGTCAAAAATAATTTTTTGAGAGAAGTATTATTATCATGCATTTATTCTTTCATTAAAACATTTATAGTATGCCTGCTATGTTCTAGGCAATTATCTAGGTACTAGAGATATTCAGTGAATAAAATAGAAAGTCCTTTCTAACATTTTCATCCTAATAGAGACAGACAACACATAAATATGTAACAAGTCAGGTGGTGATAAATATTCTGAAGAAAAACAGAGTAGAGGGATAGAACCTGGAAGGGAGAGCGTGGTGGGCCATGCTATGGTAGAAAAGTTGGTTAGTCACGGCCTCTTGAGTGGAGACTTCCAGGAAGTGAGGGAGAGAGGCACAAGGTAGCTGGTGAGAAGATCTTCTAGATAGAGGGTATGATAAGTCAGAGGCCTGAGGAGTTGCATTCATGGTATGTGTCCAAGGATCAACATGGAGGTAAGTCTGGCTGAAACCAAGTGAATGACAGAGTGAGTGGTAAATGATGAAGTAAAAAAGTGTCTGGGAGTCAGCTACACTGGGTTCTGTAGGTGAAGACTTAGAGTTAGATGGATATACAATGGAAAATTTGAACAGGGTACTGATGTAATTCAACTTATATTTGAATCAAGATCACACTGATTACTGCTTAGAGAACTGGGTGTGGGGGGGTGGGGGCAAGAGTAGAGTCAGAGAACTAAAATAGGAAGCAATTGAAAGAGTTCAAGCAAGAAATTATGGTGGTTTACACTAGCATTTTAGTGGCGGTATGGTGAAAGGGGGTCAGATTCTAGAAGTATTTAAAGGTAGAGTTGATAGGATTGGCTACTGGAGTGGAGTGTTGAAAGAGAAATGAGGAAATGTGGCTAGTTTCATATGCTTTTGGCCTGGGCAACCATTATAAAGGAGTTGCCATTTACTGTGTTGAAGATTGCAGGAAGAGTGATTTTGCCTGGTTTCAGCCATGTGAAAATTGAGCTGTCTAAAAGCCAGTCAACCACAGATGGTATATAAGTAGTTAGTTATGAGTCTCAACTTCAGGGGAGAAATTGGGGTTGAAGATGTAAATTTAAGATCCATCAACCTAGGGATACTATTTCAAATTATGGGATCGAATGATATCATGTGGAGCATGCTTTTTGATAAAGAGGAGAGACTGGCCAAGGATTGAGCCTGGGAATACCAGCTTGAGATGAGGGGAAACCAGCAAGGGAGACTGGAAAGCAGCAGCCAATGAGGCAGAAGGAAAGCCAAGAGAGGGTGGTTGCCTACAGACCAATTAGAGAAACATTTTTCAGAAAGAAGGAAAGGACTAACTCTATCAAAAGCTATGGATGAATCAAGTAAAAACTGAAATTTACTAGTTGGCAATGTAGAAACCATTTACTTGTTGAAATTGTATTTGCTAAAAGTAAACATTTAGAATATAATTTTCAATATTTTAGTAGGCATCAGACTTTATTCAATAAAAAGGCTTTTAAATTTTTCTTCTGGTTTTTGGTTTTTAATAGCTGTTCTTCATTGGAAAAAGGTCTAGTAATAATAAAGTGATTTAAGCTTAAGAAATTATTGGCCAGGCGCGGTGGCTCAAGCCTGTAATCCCAGCACTTTGGGAGGCCGAGACGGGTGGATCATGAGGTCAGGAGATCAAGACCATCCTGACTAACACGGTGAAACCCCGTCTCTACTAAAAAATACAAAAAACTAGCCGGGCGAGGTGGCGGGCGCCTGTAGTCCCAGCTACTTGGGAGGCTGAGGCAGGAGAATGGCATGAACCCAGGAGGCGCAGCTTGCAGTGAGCTGAGATCCGGCCATTGCGCTCCAGCCTGGGCGACATAGTGAGACTCCGTCTCAAAAAAGAAAAAAAAAAGAAATTATTACATTGCTAATTGGATCGGATGAGGTTTAGCAGCACATAAGAGAATATTCAAATAATTGTGATTTAATTAAAGAGGCTTATGTTTCTTTATTCAAAATAAGTTCCAAGATAGACAATCCAGAGATACTCTTACATTTGGTTACCTCATAGACAGGTATGAGACAAGGATTTGAGAGCAAGTAGCCTATTCATTTGGTGATGCCAGGAAACACTGTTTAGAGAGTGGTACACTGAGACAGGAAATGGAAGAGAATCAGTAGTGATATTAGTGAGAAAATTAGTGCTCTGAGCAACTGAGGCTTAATCCTACACATGACATCTGGGAAAGGGTATAGAATATACCTTGGAGATGTTCCATCTGAGGGCTGGGGAAGAACAGCTGTTAATCCACTGGTTGATAAGTTGGTTGATAACTGATTCCAGGGGCATTAGCAACACGACAGTCCCCCACCATGCTCCCATGGCCCAAGAAATCCTTTAGACAGAGTACAGATGCTTGAAGCTAAAGTCTTCAGCAGGACTGGTGAGTGCCTAGGAGATTTGGAAGGAGCACTGACCACTTTGGAAACAGGGGATGGTACCTTCACCATGTTATCAGGGACCCAGGATCCTTATATATTTTTATTCTGACATCCTTAGAGATGAATTAAGTCACCATGTTTTACCCATGGTTGCAACTCTGTGGTTCCAGACATTTTCCACAATTCAGGCACAAGAAATAGAAAAGAACTCATTTTTCAATGCCCACTCCACTTGTCATATTTCTCTTCAGGACAGACTAGAAAATGTAGTCTTTTGTTTGTTTTTTGCTTTGTTTTAGCTAGATACATTGATG